ACACACACACACACACACACACACACACACACACACACACACACACACACACACACACCTCTTATGACTCTCTGCCTCCAGGTCAGGCCTGCTTTAATTATGTATTTCCTCCATAAAATAGAGTGTGGTTACCGCAGCAAAGCAAACCAGATTACTCATTCTTGGATGGAAGAATGGAGGGGAGATGACAGCGGAGAGAGCCAGAGTAATAAAAGGACAGATGAGCTATTGAGATGGGAATAAAAAAAAGATGATTTTGGAAAAGCAGTTACTAATATTAAAATCTATCTCCATGTACAAACCATCCTCCAGGCTTTTAAATATTGAGCAGAATCTACTGAAAGCTACTGTATCAAACCTTTGGTTACCGGTTTATTTTATCAATCGAGTTCATTCTTTTTTAAAACGAAGAAAAAAAAAATCAAATTGCACATCTCAAACCTCAGATTGGTATGAATCTTCCATATCACCTGCCTGTAGTCTGTGACTGTGCATGGAAGGAAGAATCTACTGCACACCATTATCACTATCCACATCTTCTCTTCATTTCCCTGTGGGGCTGATTATCGGCAGAACCAATGATGTCTTTTGTGGCAACTTGAATGGCAGACCAAGCCTGTAATCAGTACCACCTTAGGGGGGGAAGTTCAGTCTGTCCCTGGGTGTCCCTCTATCGAACAAGTGACATTAATGAACACATGTTCCTCTCTCCTAGTCAAGGATCAGGGCTGGCTAAAGCCGTGTGTTGATTTTCACCGCATTACCCAGTATTGACGTACTCCTGGATTTTTTTTTTTGGTCCTTTTCTCTCATCTGATCTTCTCCACTTTATCCCCTTGATTGCTTCACCTCGTCTTTCCTGTCAGTCGGTTTCTCCTGCTTCGTCATTTGAGAAGTTTTCTCTGTCCAAATTCTCCCATCCGCCATTTCTTTTTACGTCCTCTTCCCCCCCCCTCCTAGTTACTGCCTGAATAATAGTCTACAGAGCGATGACTGTGGTTGGAGGGACGGGAGGACAGAAAGACGGAGATGTGATTACTGCAACACATTATTCAGGATGTCTGTTCTCGCCGAGATATAAAAAAAAATGAAGATGATAAAATCTAGGCCAGGAATAAATGAATTTGCGGCAAAAAGACAGACGACTGTTAGTGACTGAGGGAGACAAACAAGGATGTCATTTTCTCCTGAGCTTGTTTGTCTGCCAGGAATAATCCTAGGCGTTTAAATGCATGCTTTATCTCTGCGCTGTGTGTTTTAATATAGGATGAGGTTAACATTGGGTGAGATTTAAATAAATCCCACAACTTCTCTGGAGCAGTTCTTCACTAATCAAGGACACAATGGTCAGAGAAAGGCTTTTGAAACATATGGAACAACAAAGCTGATTGAATCATTGCGGAGTGCAACACAGACGTGTGCCAGCTCCCAAAAGCACAGTGTGAAAACAAGACGTCAGCTGCTCCTCATTCTCTATCTCCAATGTGCAGCACTGCAGCTTGGTTTGTTCCACTGGGTTCCATCAGATGATGATGGCATTCCCCGGGCCAAATTCAAGTCATTAGTGGACCCCAAGCAGCGCCACTTGCACTTACATAAGGGTGTGTGTGTGTGTGTGCTTGTGCAACCAGTAACAATGACTGAGCACCCACTGGTCTTCTTCTCATCTCTTTATATTACACAGCCCACTGCTGCAACATAGCACTTGTGTTCCCAATACTTTCAGTGTTTCAAGTTTTCATGGCTAGTCATGTCCAGTAATGAAAACAGTAAAAGGATAAATGTCATTGTGACAAATTAAAGGACATTTCTGATTTTTTACAAGGTTTTTTCTCACTTTTGAAGGTAAAACCAAAAGTCAGCACACCTGTAATGTCGATAATAATCCCTCATTGCACAAAAGAATGCACACATGCATGATTACTACAAGTCAAACCAGGAAGTTGCTCTGTAAAACTGGATTGTTTTTTTTCTAGCTTTTATTATTTTCTGACTGTGCATGGTTCTTGCCCCGATGGACTTCTCTCTGATAATGTTCCCAGATATCAGCAATAAACCCGTTTAGTAAAATGTTAACATTACTCATTGGATTATAAGTAATATTAACAGAGGAAAAAAACAGAATTTGTATGAAACAAATATTTACAAAATTATTTATTATGCATTACATTTGTAATTCTGAAATTTGAACAGTCTCTTCCTTCAAAAAGAGATATGAAGTCAAAAGAACGTAAGCACTGAGTGCCTTGTCTTAGCTCAAGATAACTTGGACAATGTTGTGAACTTGATGTGTTTCAAGACTTTGCTAAGTCAGAAATATTTTTGATGGACTGTAATATTGCTGTAAAACTTTATGATCTCACACTGTCAAAAATAGTCGTCTGATCAGAGAATGCCTTATGCAACAAGAAACAACTCTATTAAAATCTTTAAATGATGAAGCTCGGCTTTTAACCTCAGATCTTTCAAATAGAAAGATAAAATACCCCTTGCATGTTCTCCACACACAATGCATTTTTGAAGAGGTTGACCACATCAATAGACATCTTGTATTTTCAATTAAGGCTCAGTCTGTTCAATGTGTTTGTGTCATTGTAGAGATACAGAGGCCAGCTATGTGTCAGAGTTGTAAACACAGAACGGGTAATTAAGCTGCGAAAGTCAGGGACACGCACATAAGCCAGACTGCTGCCAGGCTGTAACCGGACTGACTTCATCTCCTTCGGTTTGTCGACTCTTCTCTTTTCCTTTAATTCCCTGTACCCCTCCCATCCGTTTCACTGAAACTGCACAGAACACAGTGGACTCTTGAACATAATGTTCAGACACATGTACTGTAGACACACTCAAACATAATATACAGTCAGGCATACAGTTACATCAAACATGAACACACATAAATACTGGAACGATCAGTCAATTGAGTGATCAGGTAGATGACATCAAATTCATCAACAACAATTGATTCATCGTTTGTAATTTTTCAAGCAAAAATGGCAAATGATTCTGGTTTTATATAATTGTAAATTTTATATTTTTGGTGTATTGGTGGGAGAAAAAAAAGAAGAAAATTGAAGACATCCCCTTGAGCGCTGGGAAATTGTGTTTTTTTCACTTTCTGAGACTTCTGATTAATCAAAAAATATTTAACAGATTAATTGATGATGAGAATGGAACGGTTTTAGCCCTGACACGCGCACACACACACACACACACACGCACACGCACACGCACACGCACACAAACACACACTTACTGGAGTGTGGTCATCTCTGTGAGGGATGGCTGTGTGGCCTTCAGGTAGCTGGCTCGTCGTGCCTGGACCTTGGGCGAGGGTTTGGGGCTGCAGTCCGAATCACCGCTGTCTTCTTCTGCCATGGCCTTGATGTAGCTGCCACTGCGCATCCGCCGGCATGGGATCTCGTCGTCCTTCCCCAGCGGAGAGAAACTGCTCCAGTCATCCTGAGGCACCTGTAGATATGAGGTGAGATAATGTAAAGAAGGAGCAAACACAGGTCCCCTTCCAGACACAAGAGCTCATACAGATGCACTTACACAAGGCTGCAACATTTTCTACCCTGGCCTGATATAAATACCTGTATCACACAGAGCACTTCATGCCTTAAAAGATTCAATAGCAACTGTATCAATGCAGGGTCCGGCTTGATCATACCATAAGCCTGTGAGTGCCAGAGGCCTTCTTTTGGCTGTCCTGTGATAAATGCGTCATATCAAAAGCAGAGAAATTAATTGTTTTGACAAAACGTCGCAGTACCCTGGCCTCGGTTTGCTCTCCTGACTTTTCAAACACACTAATGAAGGTAAAAATAAAAGGAGGCAAACCTATCTCCCATCTCTAATATAAAAGAGAGAGAGTCAAAGACGGCAGACATGGAGAGAGAGAGAGAGGGAAAACAAAGGGGGTTTTGTTCAGCAGAACCACTGCAGTCCCAATGTGAGTGGCTGTTAGGGCACCAGCTCTGAAGTGAAAGGAATGAGATACAGAGCGAGAATCATTCAACAGACTGGCGCGTAACTAGGAAACTGAGCCGACTTTGATGTCAGGGGCAACTGCAGACTGTGGTAACACCTCGGGAAAGACCGGGATTGTAATGACGTCAAAAGGATTTACTCTTACTGAGAAAAAGTAAAAAATAAATAAATAAGTTGAGTCATGCTTTTAGATGTCATTACCCTCACAGTATAGCGCATCATTTCTTAAATGTTGTGTGAATGTTGCACAAGTGCATGAAGAGGTTTGGCATTAATTTAAGTGTGTGTATGTGAGAATGAACATCAAATAAGGATTACAGGATTCTACCCCAGCAGGTGAAGCAAATGGCACATCTTGTTTTCAGGATTCAAAAAAGGTCTGCAGACTAACTTGTCCTGGCTGCTCTCCTTAAAAGCCTGTTTTTTTTCTCTTCCATCTCTCTTTCAAGAAAGAAAAAAGCGATGGCTCTTTTTAGGCTGGGAGAACTGTTGCCGTACTGCAGTAACAACATCCTTCCTTGATCTGCTCGCTCGGGTTTTCCAGGCTGTTAAAATGCAAGGCCACACAGAACTTTCTCTCAGTCTTTTATGCTCCCTCATTCTCGCTTTCTGCTTCTTACATTTCCCATTCACGCCCTCTTCTGTTGCCCTTACTTACTCTCTTTCGGTCTTTATCCGACAGCGCACACACACACACACACGCACACACACCTCCCTCTATCCTCCCTGCCTTGTTTCTCCATGTCTCTCCTCTGGCTTATATTTGAAACACATCCTGAGTTGAGGAATGTATGCAATTTTAAACACCTTGATCTTTTCCAAAAAAGAAAAAAAGAAGCAGGATCGCATGGGTCACTTCCATTTCTTTGTTTCCTCCCCTCTGGCTCTTTCCAATCTTATAGTAGCACCCTACTCTCGCTCAGTGAATAAGATATACTCACTCTCACACACACACACAACACTGCTGTGACGACCACCAGTACAGTCTGCATAAATGTTGTTCCATGTTACAATTTGCCAACACAGATCAAATTGGTGTTTCTGGTCTGCTTTCCTGTGCTTGTATACTGTGAAAAATAAATGCTGGTTCTGGTACATGAACCTGGCCTGTTAGACAATTGGTTTGACATCCTGTGCAGTACAGAAGTAATGGCACCACATTACTTCACGTATGAATATTTCCATGCACATGGAGACAAACAGAGGAGCTGATGACATGTGATGATTTTGCTAAATGTTTTCTAAAGACCCATAATTATTGAAGTCACAGGGAATGAAAGGATGGGGCCACTGCTTCTCCAGTAGTCCCATCTAAAGGCACACATACAAACAAACAGAGATACATGCAGAAATACTGGAGCATGGAGGAGCAGCTGGCACCGCAGGATGCATGAAGCATGAAGCATGACATGCGGGAGGTGGGGCTGTTGTAACTATCCTACCTGTAGGAAGTGGCAGGTGCGCCCCTGCTCGGCTTTCACTAGCGCTTTATCTAGGTTGACTGAGGCCTTCTGGTAGACCTCTCTCGCTCTGCTCACCGTCAGAGTAGAAGACCATGAGCTCTTCTTCAGCTGCACTTGTCCGTCCAGGGCTCCCACCAGTGGCATACCTCCGCTGTTGCCCCCAGAGCACGTCGAGCACTTCACATCGTTGTTGCTGCGTGACGTCTTGAGAGAGTGGGCGCTGATGGTGTTGTAGGACTCCATGAAGTAATGCGACTGAGATTTTTCCGGGTGGCGCCCCATGGTCATGACCCCTGTAGGCAGGCCACTGCTTCCCCCGTGGTGATGGTGGTAGAGGCACATCTCTCGGTCGAGCGTGTCGTCTGAGCTCCAGTAGCCCGAGATGGCAGTGCGCATCTTAGGCTCTGATTTGGAGCGGTCTTTGCTCTTACTGCGCTTACTGTGCTTCAGGGTGCCAGAAGAAGAGGGTGGGTCATCAGGACTGGATTTGCTGCCGTTCATCCTCCCACTCCCTCCACCACCAGACCCTGAGGGCCCCTCCAGGGAGTGGGACTTGGTGAAAAGCTTCTGGACAGAGTGCACAAGGTGGCGTATTCGACCAGGGCTGTCACTTCGTTGGTGTTCCACTGCAGTGCGCTTGTACTGCAGTGTGTGGTAGCCTTCACGCTGTACCGGAGCCTGGTGCTCAAACTGCTCTAGCAGGTTAGAAGGGATGCGGTTGTTGTTTCCACCACTTCCTCCGCTTCCCTTAATGCTCCCTGTTGGCCCTGTATAAGGCACCACAGCGCCACACGCCTCCTTCAGCTCATGGTGAGAGCTGTAATGTCTGCGAGGGAAGGTGCAGCTGGCCAGGTCAGGGTACGCACTGCACTCAGACTGGAAGGAGTTGCGCTGGGTGTAGCAGGGGTGGTCAGTAGGATGAGCCTCCCCAGGGTTGAGGAAGTAGGACCGACGATCCGAGTGCCCCAGGGTCATGGAGTCGTAAGAGGGGTCGCAGGTCACCGTGTGGTGGTGACTACGGCTGCTGGACAGGCCTTTCATCGTCATCGCGGCCGAGTCGACATACACATCCAGCTGCTGCCGTGGGAAGTCTGCACAGGCCCCAAAACCAGATCTAAAAAGAAACAAACACACAGCCGTGAGGAGACAAACAAACAAACAAGAAGAGAGAGAGAAAACTGAATTATAAATATCTCATATTTGCATACACTCAAAGCACAGCGTCTTCTTCGGATTTAATTTGAAGATGCTTTTTGGCACTCCTTCACAGATGATAAAACTTGATGATGTTGATGAGACTTGGACCTATTCTTTTATTTTTGTCCTTCAAAACTTCAAAAAAAGAGAATCTCTAAATATAGCAGCCACTTGGCATGTGGTCCCGGACCATCCAAATCAAGTCTTAAAGCTTCCTCTCCCACCTCTCTGTTCTCTCCGGAAGATTTCAATAAAAAAGTGACAGGAGATCGAGGGAAAAGAGAGAAAGACAGAAACAAAAGGTAGAAGGGGTTTCAAGAAGAGTTCAACTCTATTTCTAGCTCAAGTGTATGCTATTTTGTTCGAGGGTACTGACAAATTGGTAATGGGAACAGACAAAACATGGGGTAGTACTGAAAAAGTGCATTTATTTTTGCTTTACAGTACATCTACTCAGTGTGCACGCATGCACACCCCCCCCGCTCACAAACAACAAATGACCACAGCCTGATCCTACACTTTTCCTCTATACCTCTAGCTGTACTCTAAGAGCAAACTAATTGGCCAGTAAAACCCAGCTGACAGCTTCTGGGCTCTTCGAGGCAAGCGGCAATAAACGACCTTTCCCTTACATGGTGACATGAAAACAATGGCATCCATCAGGGCCCTTAAACTGCCCTCCTTACCCATCTGGGGCTGGATAGCCGCTGAACCCGCACGGTTTCCAATGGACTGGAGGTGAAGCTAACGAGACAATAATAAGAGCCCACGCACCGCAGTGTAGCACTGTGACGGCAGTGTGGCTGAGTCTGCACGGAGAATTCATTATTGCAATTTATAATACTCTACCAAAGGCCACTGTGGTAAATAAAAAATAAATAAAAAAAGGAGGAGGCGGAGGAAGGGGAAGCGGAAACAAAGGAAGGAAACATAACAAGAGAAACAAAGGGAGGCAGAGCAGCGGAATGACATATCATGTCAGTTCTTTACATAACTAGAAGACACTGTGTAGGGCGCATGTAGGATGTATAATGACTACAGAGTGAGTCAGATCTATTATTTTCTTTTATGTGGCTATAAACTGGATGCTGGATTAATTCATGCAATTCCCTTGTAAACCAGGGGATCAAATCACTCTGTGAGAGAATTAAGCCAATACATTACAGTTGTATTGTTAAGGGTGTAAATGAAACGAAATGTATAGTAGTCAAAACCCAACCCTATCTGCAATATATTCACTTACTCACACATTGTGAACTCACACAAAGCACACGCTACATACCACACAGACACGCAGTGTCCGCTTCTTGCAGGGCACTTAAAAAGTGGGCTGTGTCCAACTAAAGGTATTCATTGCAGTTGACAGAGATCCCTTCTGTTGGCCGCTGAAGCACAGAATGTGACCTAAATAAAAGGCCCTCGCGGTGATCCACAGCAGCGTGTTTGTGGCACAGCTGTCTGCAGCACTGCACTAAGCTGAAGTTGGGTCATGCTGGCTTTCTGCCTGCTAGCCACACACACACAAATACATAGTGTATCTGACAAGCTGCATTTTGATGTGGCTGCTAGTTTGTAAAATGCAGGTTATCAACAAGAAGAAGAGGATCTGCTAGTTCTGCTGTGTCTGTCAGGTGTGGCCTTTAGCGACATGAGGAAAGCTCATGGACAGCTGTGGTTATGTATTATGCTCCATGTCCATCGTAGCTGACTGACCCAGTTGTGTCTCTACCTGCCTGGTCAAGTCAACCTCAATATAACACACCAACAACTGCACAGGCTAAATTAGAACTCTGAAATAGTAATACATATACAATAACACTTCTGTCAAGATACAGGTTGTAATTGGTCTTTCCATGCATGTTGCTAATTGGCTGTTTGCTAAGACAAAGCACATGACAATTTTCAATGAAAACAATGACAGCAGTCCTTAAAACAAAAGGTCCTTGATTTCAGAAGGTATAGACAAAAGCAGGCTTTTCATTTTGATCTGCTGACTTTTTTTACCGGCTGAAATAACAACGGTTGCTGACAGATTTGATCAGTTGTGGGTAGTGAGCTAATTAAGCTAATTGTATCTGCATGAGTTGGTTGACAACACTGTCCTTGGCAGATTTTTTTGACGTTTCAGTTGACTCTTTCTAAAACAAGAGTCCTGCAAAAGGGGTCTTTAATATGCACTCAATGGCTGCATGATATAATGCCAAAAGACTGAAACTACATGTTGCAAGCTAAAAGTCAGCATCCTCACCAGTTGATGAGCCATAGACATGGAAATATAGTAACATGATTAACAAAAACTAACCAATGGGATTTTTTAACATAACCTTTAACCCTGCAAACTAATATGGTTAGTTTGTGATGTTCTCCTTGGCCTTAGCAATGCTTTAGGTTTTCAGCTAGTTAGCTGTACATGCTAATGAATGTAGCTTAAGTTAGAGCAGCCTTCAGGAAAGGCATAAAACAAGACACCACCCTCCAAACCCAAAATGCAGAGTGTGTTCTTACTAGAGTCCCATGAACACCGCTTTGACATGTAAATTAAGAGAAATCCAAAACTTGACAAGCGTGCTATGACTAGTTCTGATTGCTCAGCTATGATTAGAGATTTGTCTTGAACCACACCAGCAGCACAACAATTTCATGAACTACGGTGCTTAAAATCCCTGTTTCCACGACACAAAACCAACAAACCAACAAATAAAAAACATCAAGGAGACCCAAACAACTTGCTCCTTTAATACTTTGTGTGAACAGGCCCCGAAAACTACAAAGACTTCATTACATTTAAAGTGATTGTGTGCTGAACAGCAAGGTGTGCAAACAAAGTGGAGGAGTAGATAAAACAAGTCAGGCTGTGAATGCTAATGCCAATTAACACCTGCACTGCATCAGCACAGCAGGCTAAATTCTGTTTAGATGCTCTGCTTCTTTGGGCTCAGATGAGATAAATGGAAAATAGATTTTTTTCCTTCTCTATCATCTAACTCACAGTGGTCAAATCTACTCTTAATTTGCTTTACTTCACCCCAAGCTTTGAGTTTGAAAAAGTTGGGAGGAATATGCAAAGTAACATTGACTTACTGACTGCACACCATCTTTGTAGGAAGGGGTGAAATCAATCTGCCTTAGTGTGAGAAGACTGCTGCAGCTTCTCTCGCTGGCAAAATAAAAGGCTGTTTGCCGGTCCGTCTACATTCCTCGACCGACATCAAACGCCGGTTGCAAGACGGAAGACGGAGCTCATGGCTTACAGAGCTTCTTTGAGGCCTTCAGAGGCCACAAGGCTACAAAAGGTCTCTTCTTCCCACTCAAAGAGAAGCAATGATTTCTTCAAAAAGGTTGAAAACACTACCAGTCTGCTCTCCATGGGGCATGCCATCACCTAAGTGGACGTGGCTCTTCTTATGTGGGCGCATGTGTCTTTATGTCTGTATGGAAGGAGGAAAGAGTACAGCACTTTATCTCCATTTTCTAGGTCAAGTGAAGTTTTGCCTTTGATCCTGCAGACGTTCGCAGTATATTTCCGAGTATACTGCGAGATATTACTGCACAAACTGGATAACAGGGTGAAGATACACGCACAGTCTTTCTACATGTGAGACAGAAAAGGTCGTCAGCAGACCTAAATACTTGTGATGGTTTTACTGCATTTGATCTTTTAAATATAAGGAGCATTATGCTTTTCTAAGCCGAAGAAGTCAATATAGCGAAAAAATATAAATCTTCACTGTAAAAATACTAAGTGACATAAAGAAGCAGTAAATGCAGACATAAATTCACATAACGAGGTATATTCAGTTATTTTGTGGAGGCACTTTAACAGACACTCTCACAGCAAGTCCACATACAGGAGAGCTGCAGCTGGCAGAGAAGCAGTAACAGTGACAGAGAGGATGTACTCATTGTGAATGTGTGAACAGTGCCTTTAAAAAAAATCCCCAGGGAACGATGCCGTGGAACATTTTAAAGACAGCTGGGGGCCAAACAGCCGTTGAGGGAACTGGTAATTTTTTTTGTGTTTCCGGATTATGTTGAAGTGGCTTTTAGGGATGTCAGGAGAGGCTGAGAACCACCAACCTTAATGTCTTACTGTTAAATTGACTCTTAAATGATGGATGACTGTCTTCCTTGACTGTCCTGTCTGGCTGCAGTGTGGCAATATTTTGAAGAAAAACTGCAAATTGCTGCTTTTAGTTTATATGATGTGCTTCATAAAATATATGAATGTCTACAAAAGCAATAGAGCACATGATAAAAGTCCATAAAATTGAAAATTGATAGAAGTAAAATGCTTTCAGCATTCCATCTTATTTCACGGAGGGGCATATTCATATGCCCCTCCGTACATATTTACAGCGCATCTTAAAAGCATTTCATTTTTTAACCAAACAGATCATTGCCTCATTGTAGATGCAGTTTCAGACGACGCCTAATAGGCATGTTTCTGCTCACTGTATCGGCTGCATTATGAAAACACATGCCTTCATGGATGGATTGATGTTCCCAGTTTCCACAAGACAGCTCCTTTGTCACAACCAAACTAATTAGGCTGACTGTCAGGGCCTCTCTCTGACAAATGGAGTGACTGTGCGGAGTTATAGCTCAGTCCCCGCCAAACACATTCCGGGGACAGATTCCTCAAGTGATGAGGTCTATTTGATCAAGGTAAACAAATTAACAGAGGCATTAAGTCTAGAGAAAGACTGGTGTTGTTTGTCTGCAGGCAGAGCTGTCACTGACGCTCGGGATACTTCGACAACACAGAAAAACCGGGTTGAAAATGGAGGCAAACTATTGGAATGGAATTTAAAGGTAATTCTACAGTTATTGATATGCTTATTTTAATTTAGTTTAATCTTTATTTCCACCAAAGACTTAAAACATTTAATTCCCTGGAAATAACTAATTTAAGATGGA